ATCTTTGAGACAGCAAAGGCCTTTGGAAGTCCACTGGTATAGTGATTATTTATGATCTCTTAATCTCTTTGACTAGCCCAAGTAAATGAGTCGTATGCTGAGGAGCTCCAGAAAGATCTAGAATCTTTACTGGGATCTGGTGGAGATCACACAGCTAGAATACAGTCTTTTAGCTCAGCAGTAGACTCTTTATATATATATTTTTTAAAAAAGTGATCATTTTTTGAAGCCACAAAAAGTATCAATCCATAGATAAAATGCTGCTGACACATGCTTAGAGCAAGTAAATGTGGTAAGACTCATGGCAAAAAAAAAAACAAAAACAAAACTAAAACCAATCCAACAACTTGTTTGATGAAAAATCCCTGCATCCACATAGTTTATATTTCTGCTTCTGACTACTCTTGATGATAATTAGCTCAGAAGTCAACACGATCTTCTACAGGCAGCAGTTGCAGGGAAGCAGTGACAGAGTGCACAATATGCAAGTGTTAAATCACATAGAAAGAAGGAACATTTAAGAATGGCAGCAATCAGATAACTAGTAGAAAGGTGGATAGAGTCAAGCATTATAGCAAAACAAAGTCAAGTTTCTCTAAAGTCGCTGACTTTGTATCTTGAAGGCTTTACCATGTTCTAGTTCATCATCTGACCTTTCTTATCCCTTTCATTTTGAGGAATTTCTTATATTTTAGAGCAACTGCAGAGATAAAAATGTCCCCGAAAATAAGTATGTATACTCTGAAAGGGCTTAGATTTTCTAGGTTAGATTTTGACATAGCAAAGGATAGTAAGGATAGACAGAATTTAAATACCTGACTGCAAGACTCTTGTAGTATGAGGCCTATCAATGCTACTGCTTTTCCCGAGCTGGGCACACTTGGGCTGACAGCCTTGCAGCATCTTATTATAATGCTTTTGTATGAAATTCCATATCCTGGAATTAAACAAGGTTGAAATCCCCCAGTAAAATTACTGTCTACAAACATGTTCAATGGAAACTAGCAAAGCAAATTTGGTATTGGTTAAAGACGTGTGATTCCATTTCTTTTTTTTAATAGCAGCAGTGAACTTATGCATGTCAAACAGCACGAGAATAGGGCAGGCTCATTAAAAAAAGTTTGACTCTATTGAACAAGTCACAAATTGTAATTGCTAAGTAGAACAAAAGCCAATAAAATAGGACAATAAAAAAAGACCTATTTTGTCTTCAGCATTATATGGTGGAAGAGAGAAAGCTGGTCATTCCACGACCAAAGTCCATTCTGTAGATGCTGAGATTTAAGTTTCCCTTGGGACTCAGAGGGAAAGGAGGATATATTAGCAACATTCCATAGACTTTCAGCACCCTACAGAATACTGAAACATTCTTCCAGAGTTCAGACACCCTGATACTGCAATGAGAGTGAAAGCTGAGTATTTCTCCCTTTAAACTGCTTTGTTAGACTGTGAAGGAGTAGTACTTTTTCTGCATTACGTTGGCACCTTAAAAAGTCTTCAGAAGTGGGGAATCAACATCTATCCTTAAAAATTTGGTTGAGCAAATTAAAGCCACAGTACCAGAATTGTTTACAGACTGGATTACAGACTCAGGAACTGGTTGGGAGAAATGTCCCAGTCTTTGCTTCTGATTTGTTCCCTCATCAACTTTGAGTCAACCCACCCCTCTACTATCAGCCCTCTGGACCACTCCTCTGTAGGAAAGATTAAAAAGAAAAAAGATGCAATCCCAAATTCTCTCACTCCTACACCAAAGAAAGCAAACAGATGAACTTCACATCAACATTTAGTTTTGTGTGCCACCTACACTGCAGAGTTGCTCTGAAAGTATATTTCCTGATGTTTGTAGAGCTACTCAGGAGCAAGCAGAAATTAAGGCATAGTAGCTCAATCGGGAAGCACTGTATTTCAACAGATGCTTCCCTCTAGATTTCCAGAGATGGCTGAGACATTTGAGTGTGCTGAGGATTTTGTTTGAAATTATGAAAATAAATGTATACTTTTTAACACTTTTTGTTGACTGGGATAAACGGTAGGGTATCCACATACTGAATACCAAGGAGAAAAAAAACCCACAGAATAATTACCCAATAAATAAGAACTGTCCATGAAATGAATGAGTCAAGGATCTTGGGTTGTGGTGGGGAAAATCTGAAGAACTCATGACCATGATGCTTATTTTAGCTTTCTTATTAAACAAGCAAACAATAAACTACATTCCAATATAGGAAGGACTTAATCATTTCAAAGAGAAGAGTTGCATCACTGAAGTAGAGATGAACCCACATTTAAAAACATATAGCTGAAACAGGAAGTTTTAATGCTAAAAAATTCTCTCTAGCTGAATGTAAAAAATGCTTAATGAAAGTAATCTTTATAAATATTTTTATATTGAAATTAATATTTTATATTGGTATCAGTATTTTATCTATTTTTATATATTCTATATACTATATTTTGATATATATTTTCTATATTCTCTATATATTTTTATATTTCAAAATATTTCTATATATTTCTATTTATATCAATTTTTATATTGATATCTTTAATGTCTTTATCAATGATCTGGGTGAGGGGATCGAGTGCACTGTCAGTAAGGTTGCAGACAACACCAAGTTGGGCAGGAGTGTTGATCTGCTGGAGGGTAGGAAGGCCCTGCAGAGGGATCTGGCCAGGCTGGATCGATGGGCTGGGGCCAACTGTATGAGGTTCAACAAGGCTCAGTGCTGG